TGAGCCAAACCGGCTTCGGCTTTCTTTTAATTTTTTTTATTGTTTCACTTAATTACTGCTGTGTGTGTGCCCCATGTGAGTGACAGAGGTGCTTATGTAGGGGGGTTCTGACATGGCTAAAATCACATTACGCGCAACAGGGATGGATCTCCGACGTAACCAGAGGACCTACTGTACTTTATTTGCTTGTATCAGCTGAGAAGATAATAACTTGATAGGGTCTATGATCTAATTATACCCAATTCAATAAAATTCTCTTGTATACCAGATGCTACCTGCTTTTTATCAAATCAAGTGTTTTAAGAGTATAAAAAGAAAATAACACTAAGAAAAAGTACGCAGAGAAAATCCAAACACAAAAAAACTGGCTTAAGGATCCAAGATGCTTGCTTACGTAAACACACCTAAAATGTTACCGTGCACAATTCACAATTTCCAAACTACAACTAAAAGACAAACGTCTACCACCCAGAACCACAGGAAAGCTGGCTGAGTGGAAGCTCTTACTATACTGACAGATAAAGGAGCATTCAGGGCACAAACACGGAAAAACAGGTAGGAGGATGCACACATGATACGGGCTGGTTACAGATCCCGGCTGACAGAGGGCGTTGACTTTCTTTAACCCGAAGAGAGACAAGCTCCCAATCTCTCCCAATCTCTCTCCCAAATCCAGTTTCTGGGGAGAAGCCAGACTGTCTGACATCGAGTCGGAAAGTGAGGGTGGCTTGCTTGCAGAGCTGTACACAAGAATAATTGTTTGCTGTGCTGGGTTGCGAGACACGGAAATGCAGTCAGAGAGGTAGAGAAGGCTGACTGGCAGCCACTGCTGTTTGCCACACCCCAGCCTAGTGTCGCCCAAAGACTGGCCCGCACAGTCTAGAAACACACCCAAGCTCCAAGCAGCAGCTTTTGCATATGAATGGCCTTCTCTAGTGCAGTTTAACCTAGCAAACTTGCAACCCAGTGCAGACATCTCCGAGGCCTCCAAGCTCCAAGCAGGGAAGAGAGGACTGTGGTTCTTGCTGTAGCTCCTGCAGGGTGGCCTCAGACAGTAGCTGAACTGCACCCCTTTGGAGATCCAGAAGCCAGGGAACCTAGTGGTCAGTGTGAGACACCAGATTGCAACTCCTTACATCCATAAGTGACACATTCAGGAGGTGGACTCAACAGCAAAGCCCACTGAAACCAGGCCTGCACCATAAGCGTGTCTCCAGCGCAGCAGTTCTTCCATTACAGACACAGCGGGTCCTCACAGACAACTGGCCTGGAGGTCAATTCCTCCCAGTGCACCAACAGCAATCAAGGCTTAATTACACCAAGACTTTGCACTCAGCCCACAAAGGGGTGTAACCAAAAGCAACCACCTCGGGTGATTGGGGAATCTGAGCTACTGGGTCCTATAGGTCATCGACCACACAAAGCCACTCCATCAATACAGGGAGGTAACCAAAATGCGGAGACACAGAAGCATGTCACGAATGGGAGACAGAAAAAAGTAAACTACTGGACAACACAGAGTTACTCAAGAATCTTCTAAAAACCACTGAGAAGCTTGAAGAGACCTTCAAGGACCTTAACGAGAATGAAAAAAAAAAAAAAAAAAAAAAAAAGGAAACAAATTAAGCATACACTGTCCTAAATAAAGAATACCCAGAAACTCAACTGTAGATCAACATGCCCCAAGAATCAAACCAAAGATCTGAAATATAAGGAAGAAAAAAATCACCGAACCAGAGAGGAAGAAAGAAGAATCCAAAAGTGTGAGGATAGTGTAAGGAGCCTCTGGGACAGCTTTCAGCGTACCAACATCCGGATTTTTGGGGTGCCAGAAGAAGAGAGAGAGCAGGATATTGAAGGCCTTCTGAAAGAAATAATAACAGAAAACTTTCCCTACCTGGTAAAAGAAATAGACTTACAAGTCCAGGAAGCACACAGAACCCCAAACAGGAATCCAAAGAGGACCACACCAAGACACATCATAATTAAAATGCCAAGGGCAAAAGACAAAGAGAGAATCTTGAAAGCAGCGAGAGAAAAACAGTTAGTTACCTACAAGAGTACCCAAACAACTGTTGGCTGATTTCTCAACAGAAACTATGCAGGCCAGAAGGGAGTGGCAAGAAAGATTCAAAATGATGAACAACAAGAACCTACAACCAAGATTACTCTACCCAGTAAAGCTATCATTCAGAATTGAAGGTCAGGTAAAGAGCTTCACAGACAAGAAAAAGCTAAAGGAATTCATCACCACCAAACCAGGATTCCATGAAATGCTGAAGGGTATTCTTTAAGAAGAGGAAGAAGAAAAAGGTAAAGGTAAAAACCATGAACACCTAAAAGACATCAAATACATACCTACCAACAAGTGAATCTAAAAATCAAGTGAATAAAATATCTGAAGAACAGAATGGACTGGTGAATGTAATAGAATCAGGGACATAGAAAGGGATTGGACTGACAATTCTCAGGGGGAAGGGGGTCTGGGGGAAGAGATTGGACAAAAATCTTACACTTATGGATGAAGGCAGTGGCAGAGAGAAAGGGCATGGGGTGGGGTATCAGATGGAGGGGAGCAATGGGAGAGGGAAGAGGAACACCTGTAATAATCTGAAAAATAAAGATTTATTATATTAAAAAATAAAATTTTAAAAACTGGCCTAATTTCTCACAAAATTAAGAAAACCATTTCCTTCTTAGTTATTACATTTTTAAAAAGAAACACATGTATATTGCCATCATGCAAAAAACTTTTGTGAAGTTATCCTATGGAAATTTTTTCACCTGAGTTTATGAAATAAAAAACTGGCCTGGCTGGCATGGCTCAGTGGTTAAACATCACAGTTGGATTCCTGGTTAGGACACAGGCCTAGGTTTAATCCCTAGTAGGGGGTTTGTAGGAGGCAGCCAATCAATGTTTCTCTCTCCCCCCTTCTCCCTTCCTCTCTGAAATCAATAAAAATTTTTTTTTTAAATTGGAAGCAAGCTATCTATAGATAAACAGTATTATAGTACAACCATTAAGTACTAATCCCATTTTGCAAAGAAAAAAATGTACGAGTATATTTATGAATAAAAATAAATTTGGATAAGCAATGAACTATTTACAGTACTTGTCTTGGAGAAAGGTTGTGGAGTTTCACTTTTTATTATGAAAATTTATATAAGCCTGGCTGGTGTGTTCAGTGCTAGAATGTCAGCACCTGGTACTGAAGGGTCACAGGTCCAATTCCAGGTCCAGGGCAGGTGCATACCTGCAGTGCAGGTTCTATTCTGGTCAGTCTAGCAAAAGACTATCTCCCTCTCTCACATGAAGTTTGTCTCTCTCTCCTCCCCTCCCTTCTACTCTCTCTCTCTCTCTCTAAAAAAAAAAAAAAAAATATATATATATATATATATATATATATATATATATATATATTTATTTATATGAATGGGAAAATATTCTTGGGTGAGGATAAACAAATAATAATAGTAATTTAAGTATAATTTTAATTATATAACTTAGTTATAAATATATAAAGTTTCACAATAAATACAATTACTCGATTTTTTAATAAGAAGGGTACTGTTAAGGTTTCCTCCATTTGCTTTGTTTTTCCATACCTACAAGGTAACATCTTACGCTCTCTCTTTATTCTTGGCTTCATCACACTGCACAGAAGAAGTTCCCAAATAGCATAATGTGCTCTTTGGGCCGCCCAAACCTGGCCAGGGTCCTCCGCCCCTTTCCGACGGGCTCCGAGGCCAGCCCAGAGGACAGCTCCGGGGATTCCTAGGCCGCGCACCTCAGGGGGCCGTGCCTGCTCCTGGGGGACAGTGCCCGCTCCGGGGGGACAGTGCCCGCTCCGGGGGGACACTGCCCGCTCCCGGGGGGACAGTGCCCGCTCCCGGGGGACACTGCCCGCTCCCGGGGGGACAGTGCCCGCTCCCGGGGGGACAGTGCCCGCTCCCGGGGGGACAGTGCCCGCTCCGGGGGGACACTGCCCGCTCCCGGGGGGACAGTGCCCGCTCCGGGGGGACAGTGCCCGCTCCCGGGGGGACACTGCCCGCTCCCGGGGGGACAGTGCCCGCTCCCGGGGGGACACTGCCCGCTCCCGGGGGACACTGCCCGCTCCCGGGGGGACAGTGCCCGCTCCGGGGGGACAGTGCCCGCTCCCGGGGGGACACTGCCCGCTCCCGGGGGGACAGTGCCCGCTCCCGGGGGGACACTGCCCGCTCCCGGGGGACACTGCCCGCTCCCGGGGGACACTGCCCGCTCCCGGGGGGACACTGCCCGCTCCCGGGGGGACACTGCCCGCTCCCGGGGGGACACTGCCCGCTTCCCGGGGGGACACTGCCCGCTCCCGGGGGACACTGCCCGCTCCCGGGGGGACACTGCCCGCTCCCGGGGGACACTGCCCGCTCCCGGGGGGACAGTGCCCGCTCCCGGGGGACACTGCCCGCTCCCGGGGGGACACTGCCCGCTCCCGGGGGGACACTGCCCGCTCCCGGGGGACACTGCCCGCTCCCGGGGGGACAGTGCCCGCTCCCGGGGGGACACTGCCCGCTCCCGGGGGACAGTGCCCGCTCCCGGGGGGACACTGCCCGCTCCCGGGGGGATAGTGCCCGCTCCCGGGGGACAGTGCCCGCTCCTTGGGGGACCGTGCCCGCTCCCGGGGGACAGTGCCCGCTCCCGGGGGGACAGTGCCCGCTCCCGGGGGGACACTGCCCGCTCCCGGGGGACAGTGCCCGCTCCCGGGGGGCCGCGCCTGAAGGCGCCGGCGGGAACTGCACGCAGAGGCTGCAGCGGCGGGCGGGAGCCCCCTCCGCGCCGGCGCCCGCTCCTCCCGCCGGGTCCCTTCCCCGCCGCGGGTCTGGGCTCGGCCTGGCGGGAGCCCGGGCCCTCGGTACCAAGGAGCCGAGCTCGGCGCGCGCGGCCTCCTAACGGCTGAGCCCTGGGCCCCTCGGAGAGTCGGCTCCGTCCCCCGACGGCCTGCGGCTGGGCAGCCCGGGCCCACCTTTGGGGAAGATGAGCTGCGAGGCGTCCTCCTCCACGTCGCCTGCCCTCGGGTCGCTGCCGCCCGCCGCCATCGCACACCGGTCTGCCTCCGCCGGAAGTGGGAGCGCGGGCCCCGCCCACAGCGGAAGGGGCGGAGCCTCTAGGTGGGCGGAGCAGCAGCTGAGGCCCCGGGGAGGTGCGCGCAGGTCTCCGCCCCGCCTCCTTCGCCCCTCCCCCTCCGCCCCGCCCCCGCTCCCGCCCCTCCGCCCTATAGAGGTTTATAATACCATACATGATCCCATTGAGCCAAACCGGTTTCGGCTGTTAGGGATTTTTATCCTCAGACTGTCAGTTTTGCTATTTTTGGTCCCGGATTTGCAAGGACTGCTCTTCAGGCCTCCCCTGAGCTTGTCAGGTTTATCCTCTGGCCCCATTTTGGTCCACAGGCAAAGTAATGGTAGACTAGGTAGCATTGCCAGAGCTTGCTGTTTTGAAGAGCTGCGAACAGAGGTACTGAAAGGAATCCCGAGACAGGCAGCCGCTGGTGTGGGCAGTGGATTCTGTCCATCTGTCCATCCTGCAAGCCTTTACAAAGCACCTGCTACTCCTTACTGTGTGCTGCCCCAGGAGTTAGCTGGGTACTCAGCGCTTTGTGCCCTCTGCACACACCATGGTAGAGAAGAGAGGAGAAGAACAAATAACACATATAGTGATGTTCACAATATGCACTTGGTTTGTCCACATTTTCATGCAGGAAACCACTGTAAACATGTATGTGCAACATTCTAGGGTTAAAAAAACAATGCCATCACTGATAGATCCTCCCTTCCCCCAAATGATGGATGGAGTATGACGTAACCTGCACCTGCGGCTTAGACATTCCTGAGCACCTAGCCAGGCACCTTACATGGACTGTACATTGAACCACCAATCAGCATCTGCCAGATACCCTATGCCCCTGATTTCTAAGTGCATAATCATGTGCCTTATATGAAACCACCCATCAGCGTGTGCAGAGTATCGTAAGCACCATCCCTTCCCATTCCTCCCCTCAAAAGGCATGTTCCCTCTGCACGTGTGGCTACTCTCCCCTTGTGACAGCTCAGCAAGGTCCTTCTCTGATAAAGCCTGTAGTCCTGGTTTTCAGCCTCTGTCTCATCTTTCATTTGGTGCTGAAGTCTGGGAGAGGTGCATGGGAGCATGGACAATCCTCAAGCTTTCTGAATCCTGCTCTGGCTTTGCTGGGTGGCATGGTTCAGAGATGATTGGCTCGCTCTGCACACCTCTCAAACCCTGCCGTACCATGGCCACCTTCTGGATCCAGACCTCCTGGGACTGCCCAGGCCCTGACAGGGCCCCACAGACTTACATCACTAGGACAGAACCTCAGGTAATTACTGTGGTGGTAGTTTTTTGCAGTATAGAATGCAGGCGTTCACCAACCAGAAGGTGGGAGAGATTTATCTGGCCTTGAATTCAGAACCTAAAGTCACATATGTCACCAGAATATTTGAGATCCCTGGTAGACACACCTGACAAACGTCCCCTCTCAGCAGGAGGTAGCTACGGAAGACGGACCTTCACCCCCTGTCCTTGCCCAAACACTCACACTCTCTCTCTCTCTCTCTCTCTCTCTCTCTCTCTCTCTCTCTCTCTTTTTTTAATATTACCAAAAGCCTGGAATGACAGGTGCTCCCTTCCCCCAACTGGTGGGCGGAGGATGACGTAACCTGTACCTGCAGCCGGACATTCCTGAGCACCTAAGCAGGCACCTTACATGGACTGTACACTGAACCACCAATCAGCACCTGCCAGATACCCTAAGCCCCCGATTCCTAAGTCCCTAAGTGCCTAATCATGTGCCTTATCTGAAACCACCAATCAGCGTGTGCCGAGTGCCCTGAGCCCCATCCCTTCTCATTCCTCCCCTCAAAAGGCGTGTTCCCTTCTGCATGTGTTGCTACTCTCCCCTTGTGACAGCTCAGCAGGGTCCTTCTCTTCCAATAGAGCCTGTAGTCCTGGTTTTCAGCCTCTGTTTCATCTTTCAATCACCCTATCTCAGTGGCCAGCAAACCACAGCTCGCAAGCCACATGTGGCTCTTTGGCCCCTTGAGTGTTCTAACGCCATTAAATATATATATATATATATATTCAATATATATATATATATATGTGTGTGTGTGTGTGTGTGTGTGTGATTTTTTACAAAGAGTAAGGGAGAGGGATAGTCAGAAACATTGATTGAAGAGATACATCGATCAGCTGTGGCCTGCACATCCCCTACTGGAGACATGCCCAAAACCCAAGATACATGCCCTTGACCGGAATCAAACCTGGGACCTTTCAGTCTGCAGGCCAACGTTTTATCCACTGAGCCAAACCTGTCAGGACAACCTCCCCCCTTTTTAGTCGCCTGGACTCTGTGTTTTGTCTCCTGCATAGCAAACCTCTCAGAAGGTGCCAAGGTCAGCAACTGAGGTATTTCTTTGGCTGCAGACTAGACTGGCCACACTGGGAGAGGGGCTGGGACCAGACTGGCCACACTGGGGGAGGGGCTGGAGACCAGAAGGGTCACCCTGGGGGAGAGGCTGGGGACTGCCTGGCACTAGGAACTGGAGTGACTGGGTGAGCCTGAGACCTCTCTCATTTGGTTCCACATCAAGTGTTGTTTTGAAATCAAAGTCACTCCTTTTTCAGTTTTCTGTAGTCTACATAGAAACCGAGGGAACCGAAACCAGTCTGGCTCAGCGGTAGAGCGTCGGTCTGTGGACTGAAAGGTCCCAGGTTCGATTCTGGTCAAGGGCATGTACGTTGGTTGCGGGCACATCCCCGGTAGGGGATGTGAAAGAGGCAGCTGGTTGATGTTTCTCTCATCGACGTTTCTAGCTCTCTCCCTTCCTTGCTGCAAAAAATCAATAAAATATATTAAATTTAAAAAAAAGAAACCAAGGGAGTAAGCAACAAAGACAGAGACCCTAGAATCTTTGTCAGAACTTTTTAAAATGTTTTGTTGTGTGTGTGATTTTTTTATTTCAGAAAGTAAGAGAGGGAGACAGCGACATCAATGATGATTCATTGATCAGCTGCCTCCTGCATGCCCCCGACTGGGGATTGAGCCCAAAACCTGGGCATGTGCCCTACCCAGGAATCAAACCGTGACCTCCAGGCTCATGAGTCAACACTCAACCACTCACTCAACCTGCCAGGCAGAGCTTCATTTTATTATTATTTTAATACTTTTTAAAATTGATTTCAGAGAGGGAGATAGAAACATCAATGTGAGAAAGAATCACTGATTGGCTGCTAATGCACGCCCCACATTGGGATCGAGTCCACAAGCCGGGCATGTGCTCTGACAGGGAATCGAACCATCACCTCCTGGTTCATAGTTTAACACTCAACCACTGAGCCATGCTGGTTGGGCCAGGGTGGCATATTTCATGTTAAAGTGTACCATCACCATCACCACCACCAAGTCCTAACCAAAACAATGAGGTCAAAGTCTTGGCTGTTTGTACTACAATGTGGAATATTAATCTCTAGAACCATAATTTCTCTCGAAGGAACAATTCCTCTCACACAGCCCAGTTATTGCCAAACTGTTTAGTCAGTTGTTCCTAGTTTTTCCAAAATTATCATATGAACCTGACTTCTAACATGTGGTCACATGTTTATGAACTGGGTATTTTAAGAAAAAAAATTACATCCTGGTAAATAAAAATTTAAACCAAAGACTGACAATCTCAGAATGTTTGTTTGAAAATGATTAGTCATTTTTCTCCAAACACATCTCATTTTCCTGGGCCTTTTCTTTAGGTCAGAAGATACTAGTGTCCCAGGGTGGATTAATGTCACCCAATGGTATTTCTCCTCCCTCTTCAGATTTTAACTTTACGGGCAAGGTCAGTTTTATTGGAAAAGCTAACGAGATCTATGAACCTTCTTTCCAAAGACCAAACTGTACAAGGTTCACGGCCCCTGGCTCAGGAAACACGGCTCTAACAAAGCAGTGCAGTGGCATTGCCCCGAACACGAGACAAGTGCAGTGTAGGAGGCCGTGACACCACACAGAATATGTAGCCTGAAGGAATACCATTTAGTTGGCTATCTTTAAAAATAGGATGACTGCGCCTGGACAGGTTTGGCTCAGTGGATAGAGCGTCGGCCTGCGGACTAAAAGGTCCCGGGTTCGATTCCGGTCAAGGGCATGTACCTTGGTTGCAGGCACATCCCCAGTAGGGGGTGTGCAAGAGGCAGCTGATCGATGATTCTCTCTCATCGATGTTTCTAACTCTCTATCCCTCTCTCTTCCTCTCTGTGAAAAATCAATAAAATATATTTTAAAAAAATAAAATAAAAATAGGATGACTGGGACCACTAATGAAAAAAAATAAAAAGATGCCTGGCCAGAGTGGCTCAGTTGGCTGGGCATAGTCCTGTGCACTAGGTTAGAGTCCTGGTCAATGGGTTGTGGGCTCAATGCAGTAGGCAGCCGATCAATTATTCTCACATCAATGCTTCTCTCCCCCTTTCTAGCTTCCTCTTTCTAAAAATCAATAAACTACTTAAAAAAAAAAAAAGCAAAAGGCAGGACAAAGAACAAATTTTACTCATAATGATTTATTCTCTACAATACTTCATTAAAGAGTTCAATGATTTGCACTCAGCAGTTATATAGCCAAGAGGCAACCAAGTGTAATACGAAGAATTGGTCTGAAGTCCTTGCACTTGAAGGCTATACAAAGTCTCTTGCTTCAAAGAAATAGGGAAATTAATAAAAAATACACAAGCTCCCTAGGCTCCAGAATCTCAACAGAAAATAACATCAACAGTTAGTGAAATAGGTGTTAACATGGAAAACAAATCTTGTGCAAATATTAACACCTAGGACTTCTTATAGGTTTTTATTACAAACAATAAAATGTTATGTCTCCATTACAAACCTTTCATATTGAAAGGATCTCTAACATGAATTACTTTAATATTAATTATGAAGCAAAAAAAGTTTAAGAACCTCACAGTGGAAACAATGCAACACCGACAACTCCAGCGATGAGACATTCTCCTTTAACGCAATTCGTGATGACACGCAATGTCCTCGCTGTGGGCGTCAGGAGACAAGCTCGCTTTCCAGACCAAAGGCACTCGCTGCAAGGGAGGAAACAAGCTCCGAGCCAGACCCGCACGTGGGGCTGGTCCCGTGACAACAGTGGTCACCTACTGTTCAGCTTGAGCAGCCCAAGGGCAGACGGAGCGAGCAAAACCAGCCTTCTCTGTAAAGCCGCCGCTCACACGCTGTTCAGATCTAGCTTGGAGCGGTCAACCCCTCTGCACGGCCGCCACCCGGATGGTTGGCTTGGTGCCTTTCTGAGGGCCACCCGCCACACCTCCATGTGGCCACGACCGTGCACTCCATACCGCGTCCTGACTAGGCCCGTTGCAGACAGACAGGGATGGCGCCCTTCCTTCCAGGACCACATAGCTTTCCTTGGTCAACTCCGGAGTCCCCGTGATGAGCAAGGGACCCCGAGCAGCTCCTCTGCTGGGCCTGAAGCCCACTCAGTGTGGTGCTGGCATCACCAGCCAGGTCTGTGCAGATTCCCCAGCCCCTCGTGTGTGGGTTCAAATGTTTCTGTTCATTTTCTTAATGGCAGGTATCCTACCCCACCCTAATAAGATAAAACAAAAAATCACACTCTACATTGGGGAAGACAGACAGGGCAGCATGTCTACGAGAAACAATAGGCTTGAGAAGCATGGCACTGTAAATGCTTGCATGACCAGTTTCACTGAGCGTGCTCAGGGGTAAAATTTTAGCACCATTTTTTTTTGCTTTTTTTTAATCTTTAGAAATTAAACACAACTTTTAACATAGAACACTTGAATAATAATGAAGTGTAGCCCTATAGATCAACACTGTTGTACAAATTGAAGGTGGGTGGTTTAGTCCCAAACTGACCACCCTGATGTCAATCCATGGCACCGGCACCTAAAAGTAACTGTCATCACGTTTTAACATTTATTATTCTCAGCAGCAGGAAATCATGAAACCATCCCTTCATCTTCAATAGCTTTTGCATTACCTCTGCAAGGAAAAGGGGCACAAGTGAGAATCAGCCCAGCCTGGGCATCTGATGCCAGCCCATCGCCCCTGCGTGCGCCGCAGCCTGAGAGGATGACGCCAAGCTAGTCTGCCCACCTTTATTCATCTCTTCCAGGAAACAGACAGCTGTGCCTGTAATAGCATGTGTCGTTTCTTACACCGTGTCCCGGTCCACCCCCTTCCCCAATTCTGGCAGAAGAAAACTCAAAAGGTCTTTTGACTTGACTATGTGCCCATTCTGGAAAGCCACACCACCACCACATAAACTTTTAAAAATAAATTAAATAAAAACATTGTGTCCACCAGGTTGACATCTAATCCACTTCAAGAGTTCTCCAAGTGCTGCTGGAGTGTCACCCTCAGGGTCTCCCCTCCCACCGGCCACGCCTCCCATAGCCCTCCAGCACTGTGCTGCCAGGTCCCTGCTGCCGCTGCAGTCAGCTCTGCACCAAGGGAGCGGAGGCGGGGCCAGGGGGAGGAGGACTCGCTGACAGGTCCTCAGGGATACGGGAAAGGGAGAAGTGCCACAGGAGAATGGAAGGACAGAGCTAACGGGAGCTGTTGGGAAGCCTGCCCGGGTGGGGTAAAGATTCCCAGCATATTAGGCAAGATAATGATTCGCCTGGTGTGACCACACAGCGTTGCTCTCAAGTCCCGAAAAGGACAGAATCAACTGTCTTCTCCTCCTACAGGGAAAGCAGGAAAAGGAACTCCTCTGCTTTTAAGTCCCTTAAAGATGTTTGCCTGAAGGAACACAAACAGCTTGGAGACCCTGGATTTTCTCCTGTGACAATGTCTTTCTGCAGCCCAACCCGGGTGCGTGTTTGAACATCTCCGTCTTCCGGGAACCTAGATGCGGCTATAGGCACTGCTGCCAGGCGAGGAGTGAGGTAGCCGGGTGGTGAGGAGGTCTCTCCTTTCACGCTGCACACAGCAAGGATGTCAGGACCTCCCGCAGGCATCCCAGTTCATTCCTCAGCAGGTGACAACACAGAGCTCTGGTGAGTACCGGGAGACTCCATGCGAGAGAGCGCCCAAAAATCCAACGTCAGCAGGGTTAGAACGAAACCTTGGAGATCGATTGAGCAACAAATGAGATCTGCCCTGCCACCCAAAGGGCTTTCCATCTGGAAGTGGGTGTCTGTCCAGGAGCCTCACAGGACTCACGGCGTCCACTCATGAAGCATGGAGGTTGTAACCAACTGTTGGTATGCAATAAACTGGACGTTTAAAAAAGGAATTTAAAACAACCTAAAAATGTGTCTTGTTGGTCTCCGTTGCCCAGACTGCCAGGGGAAACACATCTACTCGATCTGGGAGGCTACAAGGTGCAAGTGGGTCAACCTTCAGGAACCATGAATTCCAGCTCCCACCGTGTAGCCAGCAAGCAGGTGCATGCCGAGGGCCTTCTGAACCCACAGGCAGTTCTCACTGGTCATGGAGGAGCCCCAATCCAACGGAACCCCATAATGAGGAAAGGCTGAAGTAAGGCTTGGGCCCCTCAAGTTCTGTTTCATTCAATGTGACCCCGCCCTCCCACCCCACACCCCCAAGTCAGCTGGAGGCAGACTTGGCAACGGAAGCTAGCATCATAAAATGGTGCAGTAATAGAAGTAACTGGACCAGGAAGAGGAGGCGTCCGCTCCAATGATGTCATAGCCATGGGTGGCCACAGGGGGGTGGGACTGGTCATGCAGCCGTGTGTCAGGAGTAATGATTGTAGAGGGGCGGGGCATGAAGAGTGCCATTCTGGAGACAGTGCTGTCGAGAAGCAACATATTCTGCATAACTGATTGTCACCTTCTCACTTCGGTACCTGTGTGAGGAGACAGGGAAGGGTATTATGAACCCCAAACACTTCATTCAGTAAGGTCACTCAGCATAGAAAATCAAAAGCTTATTCCACATTTTGAAAGAATAAAATGGAAGACCAAGAGCAACCTTACTTACAGAAAATGAAAGACAGCACAAGAAAACAATGTTGTTATTACAAATGAACGAGATGAAAAAGCACAACCACATCTCCCTGAGAAGGTGTTTTCTGCACATCCCACCTTTAATACTACATATACTTATCGTCAGGCTGCTCTTAAGCAATCTGCTACGGGGTCTGGGGGGAGTATCTCAAGTCAGAGGACATGGGTGGCAGAGTGGAAAAGGACTGCAACCAAGGCCCAGTGTAAACTGCAAGTCTACTTTCAGGTTAAAATGAGGTAAAATGACAGAAACACAACCTCCATTTGCAAAAAGTAACAAGCGAGTTATTTATAACCAAAAGGGCACAGATACCTAATTCTGGGTCAAATTCTCATGAAGCAGGTTAAAGGATCCTGGGGCTATATAGGACAGCCTCAATTTCTGGATGAATATGCCATCTATCACAGGGTCATCAGAACAGAATTCATAGCACTTTGGCTTTGCTCTGGAAAGAGCCATGAGTCAGGATGCGAAGCATGGGTGTTACAGACCTATGGAGCCTACTACAGACCACAGGAGCTGGGCGTGACAATCCTTACCCAGAGCCATCTCTTTCCCACTGTAATCACTCCTCCACTGCAAGGTGATTATTCCTGAATTTTGACAGGGAAATGGCTGTTCAAATAAATTATAATAATAATAATAATAATAATAATGATAATAATAATGCTTTGTATTTGAAAGTTTATTTTTTAATTTTTCTTGGAATCCAAAGCATTTAAAAAAACACTGGGTTATCTTCCAGATAGACCTGTGGGGTTACTATATGATTACTTAGCATTTTACGATCACGGGGCCAGAAGCCCCCAGAAGCCCATAGAAGCTAAACCTCTCAGTGTTTTAGATTTCAGTAGGGATGGGAAGAGAACTGACATCTATGCTTGGCCCTGGTTTAGAAATTCCTCATATATTACCTTACCACAACCTAAAACAACCCTAAGGCATTCACTTTTTACAGCCAGCAGAGTTTTTCCATTTAAGAGTGGCAGAATAACTGACCGGGTCCCATGGCTAAGTGGTGAGGCTGTTTCAGACGCCAAGGCCTCATATTCTACCACGCTAGGCAGCCCCCCAAAGAAGCATTCACTCCCAACAGGCAGGGAGGTTCCTTTCCAATCTTCCTAAGAAGCGTTTTCTGACTACTCCTTTAAGGTGCCACTGACCGCATCAGCCTCCCCCAAAGCGAGTCTGGCACAGACACGACCTGCTCAGTGGCCTCGCCTGCTCCCTGCTCTCAGCTGAGCTGCCGGGACACTCAGGGGCCGAGTCTGCTGTGCTGCCACTGTCTCTGCACGGCCTCACGCACCGCACTTCTGTGGTGAGGAGACAGCAGACACTTTCTTCCCCTTCCCACCAACAAGTACCCTCCATGCAAACCCAACTAGATTAAGATGACAAGGAAAACGAGACACGGGGTTACCTGGTGAGTCTGATCGTTTTTCTGAATTCACTGGTAATTGGAGCCTTAAAGCCACCTTTCCTGAGCAAGGAGTCTATTGTCTGGATCTGATCCCAGTCTGAGGAGAGGAGACACACCGAGGTCAGGCACAGTGACAGAGGGTCATGCTCTCACACAGGGAGCGGCGGAAGCGGCCACGTCTGCCAGGGAGGGGGAGGGGGAGCCCTGGGACTCCTCCCTGGCAACCAAGGGAGACCTTGGCCACCTGAGATGATGGCCTGACACATGCCGTATGGCTGGCTCCAGACTCCTGCTTCTGTCTCTTTCCTGTCAGTGTATCAGGAACAAACATGGTTCCAGCTTAGACTGGCTGTGGACCTACTGCTGGGAGCCAGGGCTGTTCTGTGGAGAGAAAGCTCAGTTCTGCAGCTTACAGTCCTTGGTGCGGCCTTCCTTCATGTGATTTCTTGGAGTCCAGTTTTCAATGTCAGAGAGTTAACAGCAGGAGGGAAGCTATTCCTTTAACAGGATGGGAAAGTTGTTCACACAGTGCTGCTGTGTTCTTGCATGTTTGTAACAGATACAACCAAATGTACCAAACTGAGACCCAAATAAAACTCCCTAAATTACTGCACTATGTGCCATGTTTTAATTTTTCCAATCAATATTCAAATGGCAAAAGTATTTTGATTATTTACCTAAGTTATCATCACATCTCAGTATTAGAAAATACTTACGATGTGCCCTCTTGTACAGAATATGGGATTTATGATTTCAAAAAGGTGGATAAAAGGCTTCTGTTTTATGTCACGTCCTCACTGTTTTTGAAAGTTTAAACACAACCACAATGAAAACCAACAAGGCAACTCGCTGGCCACATGATTAGTTCACTGACATATTAAACTGGACATTTTCTCTATTTCAGGTTCACATCTAACGAATACTGTGTGCGTGTGTTAATTTACATATTGATTAAAAAACAAAACAAAAATGGAATTCCAAGAAAGGAAGAAAATGAGGTTACATATCACAGAATATACAAACATTTACAGGTCTTCTCTTAAAGGGAAACCTGTCCAACCCATTTCCCATCTCCAATGTCACAGTTTAACTACCAAGTTCCTTCGCCCCTAATACCTCTACTACCAAGTTCTTTAAAAAGTAGGATTAATTATGTTTTGCCTTTTTCCAAGTATAATACTGTTTAATAATTCATGACCAAGAGTTCAAAACTCCTGATAAGGGGAGCTTCCCATTACAATGAACTCCACAATATGATCAAGCTGATTGGTGGCATTTTGCTTCTATCACCAATCTTGGAGGACAAGAAATAAAGCTATTCCCTGAAAGTGAAATAAGTAAGTAAGTAGGAGAAATCACACCAACCCCCGCGTCTGCATCGTTCAGAGTTCACTCCTCCTCTGGAAGAAGCTGGTAGGCATTGAAGAGAAGAAGGGCACTCATTCTTAGTGGCACTTGGACTGAAAGACCACACACTCTATTCTCCTGCCTGGTAGTTGGCAACACCATGTCCAATGTTGTTCAATGACACTCCATTGTCCAACTCACCTTGCTCCTTAGCAACCTCAGGTAAATATGTGGCTGTACGTTTGACACCTTTTTCATTGATGAATTCAATTCGAATCCCATGGACCCCTACCTACAAAAAAAAAACAAAAAACCACAACCAAATAAATGGCACTGGTTTATACTAAGGAAATTTGAGCCACCCAAACATAAACAGGAGAAGCTCTTGATTTTTACCACCAATGCTCTGTCAGAGATAAAAGCCAAAAAAACTAGCTTGAGAGATGGGATTCCACATGTAGTCACCTCTCGGAGTATGAAAGCTATAGAAATAGTTCCTTTCAATTGCTCATCTGGTTATCCTCAATACTCCTTAATCTAGTCCATTAAAGGAGCATACCACAGGGTTTGATCTGGCTTGGGGCTCTTCACAAATGACTCTGAATAACAACTTTGACTCAAGGGTTCACCAAGAAGGATCTGGAATATTCCACTTTAACATGATTGCTTCTTTTGTTGTTTGTTCAATATTATTGTCATAATTTGTAATTTATCTTTATTGTTGCAAGTATTACAGATGTCCCCCTTTTCTCCCCACCTCAGTATCACTTCTTATTAGTCATGGGAGAAAGACGTGAACCCAAGTAGACTTGGGAGGAAAAAGCCTTCACAATTCTTTCTGCTTCTGATATCGTAGCACCTTTCTGTCCACCCATTCTGCCCATAATTGTTTCCAAACTCAACTTTCACATTCTCATGCCCTCTCAATGAAGGAGATACATCACCATGTACTAACCCGAACCCAAATGCAACGAGACGCAGAGTTCCAAATGCAGCTGTTCTCACCTCCCAGTCCAGATAATCACTGGCATCCTCAAAGTTAGTGAGGAGGGAGACAGAGCAGGAAAGTTTAGGCAGCTCCTCTCGGGTCAGGGGGGGGAAGCGACTGTCCTTAAGTGCACTGGAAGGGGACAAAAAAAGTAAGTGAGCTGCTCTGGTGTGGGAGCATGTGCCCGAGCATTTACAACTGGAGCTCCGCAGAGAACGTCCATTACCATTCATACCAATGTGCTCAGACACAACTGACGCTATGAACCGTCTACACCGGAACCATAAGTGACTCACCAGATGAAAGCCTCCACAGTTCCTCATTACCAAGAAGAGAACACTCATTCTTTATTACTTTGAAGACATAACGTCTGGCAGTTGTTTTCGATTCTGTAGATAAATTTGATCGCCATTTTTTCCACCAATCGTGTGCCTCGTGTAATTACCTGGTTAACGTGTATTCCCTGAGTCCTGAGTGAAGATTCATGGCTGAGAAGGTCCCAATGCAGCCACGAAGCCGCTTGTCCCGCCCTGTCTTCCATGTCACAAAGAGCGGACTAAAAAGCAAAACACAAAACACTCTCCAGCCCCAAGTCAAACATGGATCAGAACAGACCGTGGCTTTATTCCTGCTCATTTTTTATTCCCCATAAGGACTGCCTTCTGAGCTGCCAGCTAGCTGCAGGACCCTATGCCTTTCTGGGAGGCAAACAGTCCCGGGGACATGAGAGGACACCTCGAAAGGCGCAAGCAGAAGGCCCTCTGGGTAGCCTTCCCCGGGGGCCTTGCTGCACATGCATGTGCTACAGTCCTCCTCCTGTCTGGACTTCACTGCGTTTCCTTCTAATTCTCCATGTCTTTCTCCTCGTCTTTGCCCTATTGTGGATGTATAAGTTCCCTAGTCCATCGTCATGAAGATACACTGGGCCCTGTGCACCTCCTTACCTGCACTCCCTACAGCCCATACTGTTCCGTTATTTCTGCCAATGGCAACTACAAATAGTTCCTGCTCATAAATGTCCAGAGAAGAAAAACAGTGTTTCCCGAAGAGAGCTTATTACTAGAAGAAATCGCCACCTGTTCTAGGCTACATCAGGTGGATGGTGACAGGGGTTCTAAAAGTCTCCAGTCTGTCTCTCTTCCTGACACTCCTCCAAGCCCCTATGCCTTTATCTCTTTGATGCTTGAGTTAAACACTTCCTAAAAGCAACTTAAAAACTTGAAGTTACCTACTTCTTTGATCGTTGTTACAAAGCGGATCTCCCACCCACACGTCTTTCCCTTGTCCTGTAGAAGTTGAACAGCACCAGCCTGAGTTACTGTCTCAAAACTACTCCACAGCCTCAATAGTCCAGTGTTTCCGGGAGGAAATACAAGCCCGAATATAATGGCCCACAACGCTGCAGCCACCACCCTCCCGCAAACCTGTGTCGGACACACCTGCTCCAGCACACCCGGTGATCACCTGCACATGCGCAGCAGGGCTCTCTGACAATGGCACCCTGAGGCAGTGCTGCCCTGAAAAGTTAGCACTTCTTCTCTTCATCTCTTCTCCTCTGACACCATCACAAAGGAGGGACGACTCCCACTCTACTCTGCCCACAGTGCACCACACACTATTTAACTCTGTGCCTGTGGTTGGCCGACTCAACAAGTCTCCCGAGAACAAGGACTTTTCCTCCTCCTCACTCCTGCCAGTGGGCTGTGCAATGCCTCCCTCTGCTGAGGGAGTGACCTGAGGTCATGAGCGCTGCAAGCATCTCAAAAAGCAGCTCTTACAAGGCAACTCAGAGCTGCTTCCAATTCTGAGGAAGGAGCCAACACTGGCAGGAGTTTCTTCACTTTACGCTTTATACACACACTGCTTACATCATTGGCACGTGAGAGGGCTGGGGACAAACAACAGAGTCTTGAATTACAGAGAGTAAAATAGAGCCCTGGCCGGTTTGGCTAAGTGAATAGTGTCAGCCCGTGCACTGGGTTTGATCCTGGTCAAATGCATGTACCTCAGTTGCAGGCTCAATCTCCAACCCTGGTGGGGGCACGTGAGGGAGGCAACCAGTTATTGTCTCTCTCTCACATCAATGTTTCTCTCTCTCTCCTTCCCTCCTTCTACTCACTCTAAAAATCAATGGAAAAATATCCTCAGGTGAAGGTTAACAAAACCAATCAACCAACCAACCAACCAACCAACCAACCAGTAAAGCAGACTCTGACACCTGGGAGGGGTGCCAGCAGCCCTGAGATATCCATGCGATTGCTGATGAACAGAGGGAGAGGACCCCTATAAAAGCATCACAGCTCCCATTAAATGAGCTCCTAGTTTCCAGCATGGCCCTCAGGCACTCCCAGTTTACTTGAACCTCAACACTACTGGGGTCCATGATGTGACATGTAATGATGTGATAGTGTGACCTGTACATCTGAAACAACTGAAGACCCAAGAAAAAAATCCCGATTTCCAGAACATTACTTTCACAAGCTACACCTTCTCCAAATATAACCTAGTCCCTTTCCAATACTGAACCCAGTGGGTACTCCAGATATTGCTGGACATTTCTCACCATTCTATTCCCAAGTCACATTCAAGTTTTATAAGTAGCGGGAAGATGCCATCTGCCTTTCTCATTGTCCCTGCTCTGATGGATTTACTCACTAGGGGTCATTGGTGAATCTAGGAAGTCGTGGCTGAGGGAAGCCATAGAGGTGACAGTAGAGGACATCAAAGCAGTAGCAGCACATCTCTGCGGTCACCACCAGATTCTTGGCGGTGTTGGCAGTTCCATTGGGCCGGGGAAGAGGACTCAGAGCTCCCGATGCGGGATTCATTCGTGTAATGGGAGAGTTTCCAGGTCCCAGAGTTAAGTCTGACACATTCTCCCGACCATTGCTGCCATCCACATGCTGGTGGTTTTGAAGAGGTCCTGAACTAGAGCCGGGGACAGTGGTGGCCTGGTTTCCGTGAGTGTGTGTTCCACTTCCAGATAACTTGGGCTTCTTGACCCCACAACAGCCTGCTGCCAACTTGGGCTCGAGTGGAGGAACGCAGCGTCTTTTTCCCATCCTGACTCAGTGCTCGCGGTCTGGAATGTACAGAACCCTAACCAAAAAGAGAACAGATAAGCATTGACTCAAATGGTTAGCTAGAAAGAGAAAACAAAAAACAGAAGAAAGAGTCTCCACACAGAGGCAAGAGTCCTCAATGCTTTCTCCCCCTGGTCACACGGCCAGCTTGACAAGAAGAAACCCTGGGCTCCGCAGCAGGAATGCCTGAAGGGAAGCCATTTTTTATTTTCCATGAAGCCATTGTCAGCGTGGATGGAGGCCGGCAGCAAAGCGTTCTCTTGCCTGGGCAGAAGGAAGGGTGGGGCAGCCATGAGGCTGGATGGCGGAGGGCATTGCAAGGTTGGCTGGAGGGCTGCACCGGACCTGCCAGACTCGTCATCAGGCTGCTTTCTCTACCACCTCATGGAACCACCCTCATTTCAGAGGAGCCCAGAGGAACATCATGCTTTTCCTTGTTAACCACATCCTTTCAGCATTTCCCATCACTATCAGAAATATGTGTGTCCTCAGTCTCTGACCTTCGTGAAGGTGAAAAGCAGTAAGCTGCCATTCCAAAAAGAGCACACCTCCCAACACAAGGCTCCCATCTTTCTGTCCTCACAGCGATCATTCGAAAATGCTACTCATTTTCTCTCGTTTTCAGAACTCCACTTCTACACATCTCGCTATCCTTTTAAGACCTCATTTAAGAAAAGCTACACCTAGTAGAAACCTTTATTCCTACAACGACCCAAGCTTCATAGTCCTTTTGTCAGGTAGCCTTTCTGCCCTGTCCTAGCAAAACAGACATCTGCAAAGCCACTCAGCGTAACACAGCGTGCGTCAGGCGGGCCAGAAGCCATCTGATCAGGGAATGGGAGGACCGTTTTACCAAACGTTTTTTTCTTAAAAAGCCAAAGGCAGAAATGTACAATTGTGACATGACCAAAACCCTCTTTCTGTTGTGTTAATGATCACAGAACTAGTAAATAGATCCTAGTTACTTCAATATTGATTATGCCAGTTTGTAAAATTCTATTGACTTGAGAAAAGTATACTGGTTTTTCTCAAGTGACTACATGTTTGAGCCCTTCCCCAGATATTCTCCCTAAATTTTCTCTGATTTGAACACATAGCATATCACTGCCTTTTTACGCATTGCTCTAAAACAGTGTTTTGGTTATAAATTCCAGTTTTAAATCAAATTAGATGTTTACCTACCCACTTGCAATGGCATTATTCCTACAAAAACAGCTTGTGACTTTAAGTTGAATGAGACAAAAATTTCACAAGTTTTACTCACTTATGTTCTTTTTTAAAAAATATATATTTTTTGATTTTTCACAGAGAGGAAGAGAGAGGGATAGAGAGTTAGAAACATCCATGAGAGAGAATCATCGATCAGCTGCCTCTTGCACACCTCCTACTGGGGATGTGACCGCAACCAAGGTACATGCCCTTGACCAGAATCGAACCTGGGACCTTTCAGTCTGCAGGCCTACGCTCTATCCACTGAGCCAAACCAGTCCCGGCTCACTTATGTTCTTGATATATGGTGATCCATAACAAAATACACATTTTTGTATCAAGGGCAATTTGTAGTGAGTTGAAAGAGCCGAAAATATACTTCTGTACTCTTCAATATTTGGCTTGAAAATAGGATTAGTTTTGAGAAACCCTTATGCACCTGATCCATTAAAACTTCTAGAAACTATAATGATTCTGAGCAGAGACTTCATTGTCTTGTTGAGACAATTAAGAGAGGGAGCGGAACATCTTGGTTGAAAAATACTGACTCCAGAACCAACTGGCCAGGGTTCAAATCCTGACACTTCAGTATTACCTCTATCTCAGTTTTCTCATAATGGGAGTAACCAGACTGGCCTCGTGTGTTTGTTAGGAAAACGAGTTAACACATGTGAAGTGCTTAATACAATGTCTGCCATGTAGTAAGTGTCAATTTATTCAGCTGCTCTCACCTTCTGGGTTTTGAGGGCCAGGACTTCACTGTGGAGTGGTTGCCCTAAACACAGTGGGATTGGGCCTAAACAGGCAGTCAGACACCATTCTCACAATCCAGGACTGCTGGCTCCAAATAGCTCGCCTGCCTGCCTGATTGCCCCTAACTGCTTCTGCCTGACAGCCTGATCACTCCCTAAACCACTTCCCTGCCAGCCTGACTGATGCCTAACTGCTCCCCTGCCAGCCTGATTGCCCCTAACTGCGCTCCCCTGCAGGCCTGGTCACCCCTAACCGCCCTCCCCTGCAGGCCGGATCACCTCTCCCCCACCAACTGCATTTCCCTACAGGCCTGGTTCCCCCCAACTGCCCTCCCTTTCAGGCCTGGTCCCCCTCAACTGCCCTCCCTTTCAGGCCTGGTCCCACTCAACTGCCCTCCCTTGCAGGCCTGGTCCCCCCCAACTGCCCTCCCTTGCTGGCCTGATTGCCCACAACTACCCTCCCCTGCTGGCCATCTTGTGTCCACATGGGGTGGCCAGCTTGAGTGTTGGAGTAATGGTACATTTGCATATTATCGCTTTATTATATAGGATGTGTTAAATGAAGCAGAACAATCTAATCTCTAGAGCACGTGTCAAACACAAGGCCCGCGGGCCAAATCCGTCCTGCCAGGCCTTGCAATGTGGCCCGCACCGCGCTGTCATCACTGCACTCCGCTGCGTTTCCATCACAATGACAGTTTATGACTGTTCAGTAAACCATTCGGCCCGCGATTTAGGCTGGATTTTAGATTTTGGCCCCTTCTCTGATTGAGTTCGACACCCCTACTCTAGAGAGTTGGAATTTTAAGAGGACAACAGGGCCTGGAAGCTATGCCTCCAGAGACCCAAAATTCAAAGAAACCAAAAGCAAGGATGAAACACCAAGGTTAAAGAAACCTTTGCTCATTCTCATTACACCAAGCACACCTGAAGGAAGAGTTAGATGTTATGAGATTGTAGCAACTCTAAGTGTTATCAACTACCTAATTGGGAAACACCCTGGAACAGAGCAACAGAAGAGATTGTCACACCACACCAAGGCAGAAGAAATGAATTCTGGGAATATTCTGCCTACACACAATGTACAACCACTGATGGGCAGTGGGAACAAACACAAGAGTTTACAATTCCCCCACACCCTTCCAAGCTACCATTTGAAACCAAGAGTACCAACCCAAATCATGTGACTCTTTAGGCCCAAGTATTTCTTGGGAGGCCACTAAGCAAGTAATTCAATCCATGTTCTCCAGTAGTGCCCAAAGGCAGCCGTGTCTTCAGAGCAATGCTAAGTGAGCCACATACAGGATGTGGGTAACCCTGGCCCGGGGGCTCAGTCAGTTGGAGAGCTGTCCCGATGCCGCAGCCAGGGCACATGCCAGTGAGTGCACGGTAAGTGAACAACAAATCCACATTTCTGTCTCTAAAAATCAGTAAGTAAATAAAAAAGAAGGAAATACTTTTATTTTTTACATTAACTACTATCCACCAATTTTATCAAAACTTATTCTTTCGTTAGAGCCTCTTCTAACCCTACTCCAACAAAGCAGGCATCTCACCACAACCAGGCAGTCCCAGACTCGGCTCCCAGGAGCACCCTACAATAAGCACTCATTTCTCCAACAGCGAGGCACCTGAGAGTACAGCGTAAAACATCTTAGAATAACAGCTCAAAACAAAATAAACAAACAAAAATCCCCTAAAGACATACTCAACATCTCTTCTAAAACAATGTGGGAATTTGTTCTTACTCTTCCTCAAAACCTCATAAAAACTAGCCAAAACGGTACTTTGATCCTAGTACGAGTAATAAGTGGAAACTAGTGTAAAAATCCTTGCTTTACAGACACCTTATATCACTAGGACCCTCGCAAGCTTTCAGCTGGCTACTTCAAAGCTAAATTCCCCCGCCCGGGTGGCCCAGTGGTTGAACACCGACCCAGACACTAGCAGGTCTCAGGTTTGATTCCTGGTCAGGGCGCATGCCTGGGTTGCTGGCTCAATTACCAGTAGGGGATATGCAGGATGTTTCTAGCTCTCTCCTTCCCTAATAAGTAAATAAATAAATCAATAAAAATGTAATTTAAAAAAAAAAAAAAAAGCTAAACTCAAGGGCCATTGTAAGAGCCATAGTAGTGATCTCATTTTCCTCTGTTCACCGGATATCAATGAGAATGGACGAGGTAAAATGGATTTCCACCAGATAGAGATGAAGATGTACTTCCACAGAAAGCTGGAGGAAATAAAAGGAATGACTGTTTCACCTCCTAACTTAGCAAGTGTCAAATAAAAATGTTCTCGATGCTGAAGAGTCATCCACCTTCCTTAGGGTCCATAACAGGCCAGCTGGCAAGTCCTCCTCCCTTTCTGCGGGGATGCGGGCAGGTTCTTCCATCACTTCAGTCCCAGCCAGCCCTGCAGCCACCCTCAACCTCAGTCAGGGCTGGATGCCTTTACCTCTCACTACACCTAACCTGGTGCCCTGCATAAGGAATACACACCAGCCATCTTATTTACAGATTTCCTAGTTGACTTCAAGTTTGTCATTTTATGAGAACTAGAGGTTCAGTGCATGAATTCGTGCACCAGTGGGGTCCCTCAGCCTGTGAAACTGGCTCTCCAACATCCCCCAGGGGGTCCTGGATTGCGACAGGGCACAGACCAGGCTGAAGGACTACACCAGTGCACAATTGGGGCAGGGAGGGACGCAGGAGGTGGCCGGCTGGAGAGGGACCGCAGGAGGGCTCCAGGTGTGTCCAGCCCTGTCTTGCTCAGTCCCAATCAGCAGGACCCCAGCAGCAAGCTAACCTACCAGTTGGAGTACCTGCCCCCTGGTGGTCAGTGAACATCACAGCAAGTAGCTGAGTGGCCTTAGAATATCACGCTTTGGACTGGACACTTAGCATCTTGGGCTTTTATTATATAGGCTGTTTATGGCACAACCTAATCTTTAAATACTTGGTTCCATCCTGGTGCTAACTGGAGAGTGTGTCAGAAACTGGAGCTAGAGAGAAGAGGAGGAGAAACCAAGATGGCGGCCTAACTGCAGCCTCACACA